TATCTTCATGTGCTGGCAAGCACTGCAACTTTTCCACGGGATTAGGCATCTTCGACGCCTTTTTCACGTTCCTTTTTGAAGCTTCGCTAGGCGCCATTTCTAAGAAGGAAGATCTTCTTAATTAAGAAAAATGCGAAGCGGAGAAGTCGGGAAAGTGATCATAACAAAGTATTGTAACTGTAAGCCACCGCGTCTTCAAATAAAAACAATGCGACTGACAAATCTTTACTTGCACAGCCACTGCATATCAGAACTAGTACAAATCGACCAAACATTTCGATAAACGAACACAGGATCGCACGCCATGCTACCCACATAATTACCTATAGATGTTCGCGCAAATTGTACAACATGCGGTGCAAACGAGGCATAATGCATACAATGGAAACAACAGTTAATAAGGACTACACAATAAAACTTAGCACATCTAAAAAGATCAATACTATCTACAAACACCTAGCACTTAAGCTTATAGCATATTGATAGAATTCTTTCAAGTAAACACATACATGACTGAGAGGACTGAGAGGATAGACTAGAATCATAAATTGAATGATTCACCGCAACCGCATGTGCCTTTAATATTGGGATTTCTAAAGACAAACTCTGAGCTCAGTTTGTCGGTTACGTAATCCATTTCAGTGCCGAGAAGACCTAGCTGCGCTTTCGGATCAATCCATATCCGAACTCCATCCTAAAAAGGATATTTAGAGGTTTGATGAAACAGCAACGCAACAACGGCGCACCTGTACAACTTCCTCATCGAACTTTGCTTTTTGATTAGCATAATCTAAGGTATACGTAAGACCATTACAGCCTCTCATTCGAACACCTATCTGTAAAATGGAGATCAAGTATCCGAAGCTTAACAGTGAAGGTCAATTGAAACAGAATTGATTCTGGTACCTTAAGTGCTTTGGCATCTTTCTGATTGTCTAGAAGATATCGAATCCGTCTTACCGCCTCAGGAGTGAGGGTAAGTGCAGCTCTGCAATAACCTTAATGTAAATCTGCTAATAGCATTAATAGCAAAGTCAAGAAGAACGGGACTGGTTCAGGCGAACAAGGTTAGTTCAGTAAACCGTAATCACAGCCACTAGAAGATTGGGCTGATTTTGAGCTACTTTGTTAACGTCCTCCATAAGAGGAAAAAGCAACCAATGGAAAAAAAAACTGACAACAAGTTCGCATATTGGCTAGGGAAGGCAACATTACTGTATAAGACGCAAAACAAATGGCTGTATAACAACAGATCCAGTCGGCTTACCTGGTTGGCTTCACTCTGGCGACACCTTTAATAACTTTTGCCGTCGCTCCGGCTATTTTCGACATCAGCAAAACTGCCAATTATCGTTAGCCTAGAAAATAAAGATTGAAAACCTTAGTAACTAATCTGAATAAAGAGCATCATTACATCCGTATTAAGAGCTAGTTCATAAGAAACGATAGTGCAGATAGAGGATTGATGCAGTCACGAACTAACTGAACGGAGATGCATAGCTGTTGGACAAGTGCGTGTAAAATGCAAAAATTTTCACTTGAACGAGATTCTAAGGAAAAGGCTACACCCCCATAGCAAAATTTCTCTCATAGAAATGTTAGTTAGAGTCATATTTCAGAGCTTCAACTGCTTATAAGCAGATGACATAAGTTAATAATTCATTCATAAGCGAAAAAACGAGGGTACGTCTTTTTCAGCTAAAACAGTCACTATCGAAAAAATATGGGGGCATTTGATACCACATATGCATTCAAGACAATGACCATGCACGGGAGGAACTAGGTGACGGAAACAAGAAATGAAACAATAGCATTATGATCAATCGGATTGCACAAACTTTGATCTGGAGAGCTAAACTGTTTCCTAGACCAGTTTCACAACTAGAAATAAGCACAGCAACGCGAATTCCCTAGCTCCTGTCAAATTCTTTCGTTAGCAGGCAAAACATCTAAGCTGTATAGATATCTAAAGTATTCTGCTCGTTCTAAGAAATGTGAAGTAACACTCAAAGTATAACAGTTTGGAAAAATGAGAAAACATTTTTAAGAACGCTCTGTCCGTAGAAAATGTTTGGGAGAAAAATACACAAACAAAACAAAGATATCCAACGAGAAACGTTTCACTTTCGACATATTTTTAGAAAAAAAGAAGAAATTTTCATTCGTAGAACATCAACAACCCCGTATAACAAAAAAA